AGTATAAAATTAATATAGTATGTTTTTTTTACAATGAAGGTTTATTTTTAACGGAGCGAAGTGTGCATGTTGCCAAAGGCAAAGTAATGCTTCAGTATATCTTTACAAATTGTATTCCCTATTCGTTAAAGTATAACTTATGCTAGAATTCTTCTAGCATTCATTCTTCTTATTCAGTAGTATCGGCCGTTGACCTCTGTAACAGCCACCTCATCGCCGCCGTCCTGCTGTTAACAACCGTCAATATTGGGGAGAAGGGATTGTTAGTAATGCAGACTACCAGTCCCATTGCTAGCTATATACCCTGTCAAGTCAACCTCCACATGGTCTGAATTCCAGGTATATTCATCACGATGGACTAACTGACCTGCTTTTTCATTCCTCACCAATCATCCCTTACTGCTGCTTTACCAGCGAATACCGATAGCGCAGACGGGGCAACCACTCCATTATCATCCATTAAAAAAAACATAAATTAATCACCAAGAGGTCATGTAAAGCGTTCGCAACGAACTATATGTAATAGGTCTGTAAGCCGTCACGTCCAGAAGTCCGTGTCGCTGGATCGCACTTTTAGAAAGTTTCGTCGGAATTACTTTTTGTTTGAGACATTCACGAGCGGCTTAATGCAAATCCTGCCGGTTGGCTTCCATCCGATTACGGACGCGATAACTACTTGTGATTGGAAAAACGAGGGAGTGTGTAGCGTTTTATGATTATTATAGAAGTAAACCAGATGTCAGCGGAATTTTTGGAGCATTTTTTCTACAACACAAAGGGCAAACGAGCGTGCGCTTCACCTAATGGTAAGTGACTACCGCCGCCCATGATCACCCGCAACACTAGAGGCATTACAGGTGCGCTGCCGCCCTTTTAAAAAGGAATATGCTCTTTTCTTAAAGATTATGTTGTCGTATCGGTTTGGAAATACTGCTGCTGGCAGTTGATGCCAAAGAATAGTTCTGTGTGGAAGAAAGTGCCTTGAAAAACGCACGGTGGAAGATCGCCATTCGTTCAGATGGTTGGGATGAAATTTAAAAGGATTTGTTCTATTGGGATTGGGAGTTGGGATTAAATCTAAAAGAGGTTTACAGGGATTCTGACATGGGTGATCATAGATAAACCATTAAGTGCCTGCTGCCTGCATGTTTCTACTTATTTTGTAATGTGTTTTATTAGTCTCAAATATTTTTTTCTAACCTTATTTCTATGTAGCCTAAGATACCACTGTTTACAGCTACAGAGTTTTTAATAAAACTTAGTTTAAATCAAAAACAAGCAAAAATATAAAACGATGCAGTCGGGTAGCTAAACCGTAATGGCGGCCGTTTTCATTTTTTCACGTCATTTAATTTTATACAACTTACTGTATAGCTCACCTGATGGAAATCAACCAAATATTATTTTGATTGACACAATTGATTGAACCGTTAGGTCACCAAGCGATAAAAATAAGCACAAACAAACTCACATATAATAAATAAAAATTATTTTTTTATAATGGACTGTAAACGCTGATGGGATGGGGGAAGGGATTGTTAGTAATGAGAGGTTAGTCCCCATTGCTATCAATATATCCTATCAGGTCGACCTCCACGCAGTTCCCCCTGGTAATTATCGTGACTAATTTATCGTTGAATTCGTCACGATGGGCTAACTGACCTGTCTTCATCCTCACCAATCACCCCTCACTGGTGGCCCGCCAGTGTATACCGACAGCTCAGACGTGATACTATTCCATTATCATTCAATAAAAAAAAACACTGATGAAATACCAGTGAGGGATGATAGATGAAGACGAAAGAATAGAGTAGAATATTGGGGGAGGGATTGTTAGAAATGCGAGCTACCAGTTCCATTGCTAGAAATATACCTTGTCAGGACGACCCCCTTGAAAACCATTTTGCTCCTGATAAATTCCAGGTGTATTCATCACAATGGCCTAACTGACCTGCCTTTTCCGTCTCACCTATCATCCCTCACTGGTGCCCCACCAGCGTATACCGTTAGCGCATACGGGGTTACCATTCCATTATCGTCTATTAACAAAAAAACTTGACTAATTATATTTTTTGTTGAATGTAATTGTTAGGACAAAATCCGCAGTCAAAATCGCCATATAAAAAACGAGTGAGTGAAATAGAAGATTTGGTCATATTTTCTTCATTAGTACGCCCGTACGAAGCCGGGGCAAGCAGCTAGTTTGTAATATTAATAATGATATTTTTTTTTTATACAACACAGGGGGCAAACGAGCATGCGGCTCACCTGATGGTAAGTGACTACCGCCGCCCATGATCACCCGCAACACCAGGGGCATTGCAGGTGTGCTGCCGGCCTTTATATTATATAAGATTTCTTAGATATATTAGAAGAGTCCTAACCGCATCAGCTGATGGTTCGAACTGCGACGCCACATTCTGTCTCGCGTCACAGCTAACAGCCACATAGAGGGAGGAATTCCAATATACGAACGAAATTCCTTTCAACCAACCAGCTATAATATTCTTCCAGCCTGGCCAAATAAACGGTATCCTTTGACGGTCTTATCACTGAAGAAATAAGATCCAAATTCCCGCAGCGTAATGCGAAATGCCGTGTTTACATACAGTTGTGCCTCTGGAATCCAATATGTACCTAATAGTGATGATTAAAACCAGTCGTGTATAGTTATATAAGTGTTTATATAATCAGGAATGGCAACGCAGTAAGGGTGTCATCGGCGACACAGTATACACTGTTACGTTCATGGTACTGTTCATGTCTATTTCCATCCAGTGGGCCGTCAGCTTGTTTGCCATTGTAAGTTGCTTGAAAAAACATATATATATATTGCAATACATTTTTATATTAATATGTGAAAATAATAACAAGTAAATGCATATTCAGAGGTTATTAATCCTTCTTTGCATGATATTTTTTATTGGTGACATAAATCAAGGTGATATATATAATATATATTCAAATTAAAGGAAAAATGATTAAAAAAATAAATTTGACAGCTATGTTTTTTTTTCTGCAATGGGCAATAAAAAGGTGTCCAGACACGATCAACTTAAACTTGGTCTTTTATATAATTTTTGGGCATTCAATATTATGATGGAAATTTCCACCATTATTCAAAGAGAGGTTAATATTACAGATTATGTCAGCTGTTGGTATAAATCTCAGGGGGAAACCAACCGCGTGGAGGTCGACTTGACAGGGTATACTGCTAGCAATAGGACTGGTAGTCCGAATTAGTAACAATCCCTTTTCCCTTACCGCATGCCATTAGAGCAGGCGGGTTGCCTTTTCACCACAAAAAAATCTAAGCGGATAACACTAGGCAGAAAGGAATTGTAAGTAGTGAGAACTAGCGGTCCCACTACTACCCCGTCAAGTCTACCTCTTAATGGTTGGCCTTGAAAACCATCGGGATTAATTATTATACAATTCGTCACGTTGGCCCAACTGACCTGCTTTTTATTTATACTGGCGCTTCATTGTCACATTTCCTTATTTTTCATTGGTGTTCCGTTAGTGTATAGCAATAGCAGAAAAAAATACAAATTCATAACATACCTATAAACAAAAAAAAATACTACACTAATTTATTCACTACACTCTTTTATTCTAATAAAATTTTTAAAGACATTTAAACACAAAGAAACTGAATCTATCGTTAGTTTTTAAAAATTCGAATCATCAATCGAAATCAAATTTGACCAGTAACTGTAATATTTATTTCGCTCCTAGCCACTAGATGGCAGGTAGTTGATATTTCAATAGAGATGTACGATTAAATAATCGTTCCATTATAAAATTTAAATCGATTTCCTAATTCAAAAATATGAAAAAAAATATTCCACTTAAAAAAAAAATTTGTGCATACACTTTTTATTACCGTAAACTACTTGTAAAATAAATTATAAAAATATTGTTATTGTATTGCTAAACTGTATGATGTATGCTGTTGATTTTCATTAATTATTGTTAATAAAAAAACTCTTAAATACGTTGGAAGCCTTTGTTTGTATATCGAAATGTGGTCTCGTACATAGCTACAATTCTTAATAAATTCTTAATTTCAGTGCGTTTTTTATGTTCTAATAATCTGTCTTTAAATATAAAAAAAAAAAGTATTCTATAATACAATTTCGCGACTGCGTTTTAGATTTGCGATTAAGAAAATTTATTCCTTCTTTCATAGGTGTTTAAAATCAATTTTCAATGTGGTCTCCATTTACTTAATATAAATAATAGACATAACGCTTAAGCTACATAGGTCCCTAATTAATCATTTCATATGCGTTAAAATTGCAGTAATTAATATAAAATACATATGTTTCAGGGCGAAGCAACACATTACAAATATGTTTCATTAATTCATTTAAATTTTATTAAATATTTCATGTCTCCATAGGTAATAATTATATAGTATAAGAAGTGTGTCTGTTTACATTGAGAAGTTAGATTTAGGTACCTATTCTATAGGTAGTCATAACAATGGTTTTCAGTGCGTAATATTTCAATGTCCATATTATACTTCAGTGTAATTACCTACGTGTGTTTGGTAACATTTATGTCTCGCTATTGAATAGCTATAGGTATGTGCTTTGATTATAATACGTCGCGACGCCGACGTAAACTTGACTAAACCTGCGCTGTCGGTAGCCAACATCCCATGTTATCTCGTTAGTGCGGGCGGCGTCTGCGGGCGGTCACTGCGGCGCGCCCTCGTCGCCGACCGCGAACTAGGCCATCGAGCGGGGTGATCGCAGATCGAGAGCAGCCGAGCAGCCACCGCCACTGCACAGCAGCGCTGAAGAAGCCCGTCATTTACTCATACTTCCCGCTCGTGGCTCGCTTGCGCTTCTCTGGCCGCGGCCGTCGCTTCTCGCTAGCGCCCCGCAGTGACGCATTGCAGGTGCGCGACGGCCAATCGGCGCGCGCCGACCGCTAGTCCACGCCGCCGCACCCGCCCGATATAAAACCCACTATCCTTTGCAGATTAAATGTAATCCCGTGCCGTGCGTCCCGAGACATGGACTTCGACGTTCGAGAAATTCATGTATAAAAGTAAACACAAGTAGCACAGTGCGATAAGATTTCGAAAATCGAAAACCGGATATGAAAATACGGTGAATCGAGTTCACTATTCGGAACGATTCGCGTCCGAGCTCTAGCGAATCGCGGTCGTGAGTTTCCCGGCGCGTCCGCTCGCGCGAGAGAGGGCGGCAGTATCGTTTCAATCGTCGGTCCGTGCGGTCGCTTTTGCGGCGTAGTCTGTGATTTTTAGTGTAGCTCCAGTTAATCCAAGTTAATCTACAATGGTGAGTGTTATTTCTTCTGAAAGGTGCCGGGAGTGCATTCGGGAGATCACCCTGGCCCTGTCGCTGGGTGTATTTTTGGGATATAGTGAATCGGTGTTTATAGTGATGACGGCCTCCATTATATTATTGTGATGGCCGTTTTTTACCGCATTGCGGAACGGCGACTCTGTTATGAGCCAATGTAAGGATGGAGCATCATCAGATGCGGATAACGTGAAACTGTATTGGCCTGCAACTGTCGCCACAAATTTGCGAAAGGAGACTCGAGAAACATCCGTCGCCATAGTGCCGTAGGTGGTACCGGTGAAAATGACGTTAGATACTAATCGAAGCCGGTCTTTTATGACATTTTAAAATGGCGCATAGCTAGTTTATATTAGAAAACAAGTGGTTTTCGTACGTTCTGTCTTGTCGGAGGCCGCGTCGCGCCCTGTTGACGGCGAATCGATCGACCGGGCGCAATTGTCAAACGTTGACTCATCGCGTAACAAGTATTTTATATACGCAATTCGCTGCGGCTCTCGGTGCTGGTGTCGGCCGGTATAGGAGTCTGTGTTTCACACAGTGCATATAGGCAAATATTGCTATTTGCTTGAGCAGTGAGCACTGTTACCGGGCCGGGCTGCGCGGGCCAGTAACATGTCCCTTACTTGTTGTCGCCATGGTATGTAAATACGGCTGTGGACGCACCTGGCGTTCGTCGCAGACTTCCTTGCACTATTCCATTGTACTGTTCAGGCAGTATTCCCACAAGGCAAACTGGTATCTTAACTCGTTCTTCATATTAGGAGTGCTGTGACTCACATTAAACTAGGTATGCCTTCGTCACAACGTGCTGTACCATACTTGGTATATTCCTATTTAATGTACTTTTTGTTTGTTTTTATATATTTAAATAAACAAGGAATTATTTTCATATGTTTCTATTATTCCAAATCCTTGTATAAACCTTTATACTAGTTCTAAAAGTATGTGCATTTTTTAATTTTACCTACCCTAAGCTACCCTCAAATATAAATATGGTTGAACAAATTATGTCTTCAGAAATGGTCAAAATTAAACAAAATGATGCAAAGTACATCTAAAATGTCATATAATATTTTGAAGAATAACTAGTAGGTAATAATAATTTGCACATATCAAAGTCTATAATATTTTTTTTTAGTAGGTAGCATAATTGGTAAACATTTTTTGTAAATTATTTTTAAGTTGATAATTTTATAATTATAATAAAAAAAAAGTGGGCAATACTAGTTCTCTTATTTACTGAGAGTACAATCATAAATTATAGGCACTAAAACAATAGCATTAGTTTCAGTTGAGTGCAGCTAATTGCCTACTGGCCACTGCTAATATGAGGAAACTGTGATCATGGTATATTTTTAGCGTCTGTTTTATGTATCAACCTCTATAAAATGGCCTTGTGAAGTCAAATCTTTGTGTTATATGGTGTTTACCATGTCACGAAATGCATATTTGATATTGGTAATTTAATTATGGGGATTACAGTTATAAACAATAACTATATAATAATAAATGTGTTGGTACCTTTCTAAATTATTAATAGTATTATATATTTTCTTATATATTATTGTTTCTATTAGACTTAGCCAGTATATAACACATAATTGACTAAACAGTAACAGTTTTTGTTTAAATTAGAACAAAAAAGCTGAAGACTTGCATGACAGTTGCATATTGGCATCATTAGTACATTATTGAACATTACAGCATATTCAGTGATACTCATTGAATCCCTCCTTTGTTGTCATTCCTGAGAAATAATTCTACCTCAGCGTATTTCACCTTTTGAACCGAAACAGATGTGCAAATACAGCTGCTTGATAAAAAAAAAACGCCAATAAGACAGATGTCCCGTTCACACGAATGGTATGTAACTTTCCTATTGTGGCTGATAAACATGGAATCCAGTCGGATGTGCTTGTCACTTAATGGGTATTTTTATAGAAATACTAACGTTTACCCATGTCTTTGTTTGCAAAACTAGAATATATTTACCGACCAGGACAAAAAGTAGTTTATATCCTTTGCCATCCCATATAGTATATATATACCATAATATCATAGTGATTAGTTAGGATAAGGTAGCAAACAAACTTGCACATTTTTTATATTAGTAAGTATATGAGATTTAATTTTAAAATTTCTTTACTAAAACTACACACATATGTGCCACCATTCAGCTTGCTTACATACTGTAATGCAGATCCAAGAGCCAGGACTTAGCTGTAAAGTTATTGATTCTCACTCAAGGTCATTATGTGAGAGGGGAAAGCTGACAATGGGTAAGGGATGCATCTGTTGTTATAGGCTGCAGTCATTTGTTGGTTAAAAAATATAAAGAATAATGCATGAATATGACTATGAAGTAGTGTTATTATTGACATACTAGTTATACCCTACAGCTTCAACTGTAAAATTTAAGATGAAAATAATTCTTATGTGCTAATTGAGGTTATTATATATTTAAAATATATTTGAATTTGTACCATATTATTTCTCTGAATAGGTCAACAAAAATAAAAGTGTAATTTTTACTTGAAAACAACTGGTTTTATTTGGAATAGTTACTTTTCATTGTATTGCTTATATTATTATAGAAAAAACCATTTATCCAAAGATATAGTAAAACATTTTTTTTTTCTTTCAAGCACATTTTTTTAGTACTTACCTAATTGTTGCCTTTGAAATTGTTAATATCATTCTCTTATGTACTTACAATGCCCTATTTATGTGGTCCTAATATTACATTTATATTATATAAATGTGATAAGAATTTATTAAATATTTAATTTACAATTTGCCTGTTAATTTATATTTATCAGTATGTAGGTGTTACATAGTGTTGATAAACATTGTTTTGACAAATTTCCTTGTTCACATTTATTTTGGAATTATAAAATGAAATATGATGCCAAATAATCGTGCAAGGATAATGTGTGTACTAAATATAAAAATATTAACGTTTTCTAGATAAAAATATAAATTACCGACGGCTTAACTGGGTTCCTACGCTTACTTGCGCATACTCGTGCTATCTGTAGGTGTAGCAATAATGTTCCAATAACTGATTACATTTATTGTAATGCAGTATTTGTTATCTATTGTGTAGACCGCAGTATGACGTGTCACAAGGCCAAACAGAGGTAATTACATATAATCTGCAGTAATCTTATCAGCCAGGTGATATCGCATACTTTATTGCTTAGTTTCGTTTTGTTGATCATACTGTGTGTACACTGATATATTCGACTCTACAATGGTTGCCACCAGTGTGCGTATTTATTTTTTTTTTTTTTTTTATTAACTATGGCCAGAGACTCGCTTTTTTTTTTATTTTCAAACTTGATTCGGAAAGAAGTTCTTAATTCAATTTTATTTTTTTGTCTTACGCGTATTTGTGGACTGGCAGTTGTTGGCATACAGTATGGCTTATGGTTACCGGCGGTCACTATGAACACTTAAAACACCGTAACATCACTGGCGTCTTGGTGACCCTTATGGTGTATGGGTCTCGAGAACTGAAACAGTATATCCACTAATTTTGTCAGGCTTTTCGGTCAATGGGGAAATTAGTCCCCATTGTTTGCAATGCCCTTCACATGGGGCATGGACCATCCGACTTGACTTCGTCCCTCACTGGAACCCCGGCAGGGAGTTTTCAACTAATTAAAAAAATTGTTAACATAAATTTTTTTTTTTTATGATTTTGACTAAGACAATGTTGTCGACATTCCAGGCGGATCAGCTGACAGAAGAACAGATCGCCGAGTTCAAGGAGGCGTTCTCACTGTTCGACAAAGACGGAGATGGCACAATCACGACCAAAGAGTTGGGCACCGTGATGCGATCCTTAGGACAGAACCCCACAGAAGCCGAGCTTCAAGACATGATCAACGAAGTTGATGCAGACGGTGAGTACACCTGTGAACACAGGCTTTTTCTCGCCTCATTTGGTAAACAATCGTGGCATGTCTTTACGCGGCGCGTGAGGGTATCGCCCTCTGGCGACGGGAGCATCTAAATCGCCTATGTCGTACACGAAAATCTACCGAACAACGGCTGTACGTGCCTTCCGAAACACGAAGCGACGGTAATATTTAAATTGTTGAAACATTAATTTGATAATTTAAAACTTTAGATTGGAATTCAATTTTGCAGCCAAGGTTCCTATTGAACTATTACAGTTTTTTTTTTTTTTTCTGATATGATAGTAAAATGAACGTATTGTTTATAATTTTGTTTAGTTTGTTATTTTTATGTTTATCTTATATTTAAAAGACTGTAATTTATTTTTAAAAACATGCCAATATTGTTTACCAATTAATACAAGTTAGATAGAGTGTATTTATTTATACAACTGATAGTATGGTATGGACATATAGAAGAACTTGAATTTGTTCAAAGCTAGAAAAAAAAATACTGTCCAACCGAACTTTCGGTTCCGGTTTTGGCCAAAAATTCTACTTTTGGCCTTAGTTTCGGTTTCGGCCAAAAATTTGCCGAAATTTTTGGCCGCGCCGAAACTTTGCGTGTGTGTCTAACTGAAAGTCCTTTTTTTTTTTTAATTTACTTCCACTTGTAAATCATAATTTTAATATGTTTTTATAGCATATAAATATATATATGATATATTTGTTACATACTTTAATTAGTGTTTATTATTACCCTTTAACTATCTCTGTGTGTAAGTAATTAAAAAATACACTACATTTTAGTATAGAAATTTTAAAGATGTTTCGGTTTCGGCCGAAACTGAGACAAAGGGGTCTACCATGAAATGAAATTCCGAATTTTCGGGCTCAATTTCGTGTTTTTGTTCGTACCTAAATCGACCCAGTAAATGGAGCTTAACATTTCATGGTAGGCCCTCAAGACCGAAAGTTCGTTTTCGGCTGTAAAACCTGTTTCGGTCGGACACTAAAAACATATTATTTTGAAGTTCACTTATCTATGGTAAACGAAATAAAAGTTTGTAAATCTAAATCGAAGACAATGGTCGGATCGTATCCTTTAATGTTGAATGGCAAAAACGGCTTTGTCTTCCACGACATAGGCCTAGTGTGGGGTCTCATAGCTATGTTGTACCATAAACTAAGTTTTAAGGGAATAAAGTTATTCTCATCTATTTAGTTTTTTTTTTTGATGGTTGAAAATGGAATGGCAGCCCCGCCTGCGCTAACGGGATACGCTGGCGGAGCACCAGTGAAGGGTGATAGATGAGAATGAAAACAGGCCAGTTAGCCCATCATGATGAATTCATAAGGAATTCACCATGATAGTTTCCAGGGGGAACCGCGTGAAGGTCGACCAGGTTGGGTATATTGCTAGCAATGGGATTCTTAGTCCCCATTACTAGCAATCCCTTTCCCCCCTCTATTTAGAGATTAATCATGCATGAACTTGACACATTCTTATATCATAGAGATTGAAGTATTAGAAAAACGAGACACCGAAATTTTTGTTTTACAATTTCAATCAAAAAAATTATTATAATGTATAATTATAGTGTTGATTCGCTTTTAAACGACAGTTTATAATTAACAACTAAAATGCCCGTTTGCCAAGTGAGAGGAGATTGTTTCCGAGGCATCATAAATTTTCATAAGTTATAGGGTCGCGGTTACTTTTTTTTATACAACTTAGAATGGCAAACAAACTAACGGCCCACCTGATGGAAAGTGGTAACCGTCGCCTAGAGACATGGCCTGTTTCGCCCATGATACCCCCATCCGTTGCCATTCTTGAGGACTCAGATGTTATTCTTCTGTACCCTATAAATTCACGCCATATCCCACCTATCAAACCGAAACACAGCTATGCAAACACAACTGCTTCACGGTAGAAACACGAATGCGACAGAGGTACCTAAGCAATCGACTTTTGTGCAGTCTCCCTCTGGTGCTAGTGATACCCTATTCTGAAGTTCCAAGTGCTCTGAAGCCCACTTGGTAAGCGGGGTGTTAACGGCCGACCAATCGACCTATTTACATCGAATATGAAGACTGATAAAGATTTTATCGTATAAGTTGAAACTTATCGTTTAATTTTATACGTTTAACTACGTAATGCGATAAAAAACCGACTGTGACAGAAGTTAGGTTTGTAACCAAATCATGTCCCTTTCGGGGTACATAGAGAAAAACGGGACACCAATAAATTCATAACTGTAATATATATATATATATATATATATATATATATATATATATATATATATATATATATATATATATATATATAATTACCGTCTTACACTAAAATGAATTTTTTTTAAACCGCCATCGAAATATATCTGCTCATCCTAATGGTTGATTGGCAGAGAATGCCTATAGCATTAAGTCCGCCTTTTGTGCCACATTTTATTGGTCAATAAAGTTTAAATAAACTTTCCCCCTTCATGTACAGGTTATGCTGTAGTAATATTGATGTTACCTTATGTTTTTAAATAACTACCCTATGCCCACAATTATCTGCATGTACACGACAACAGGTATTGGTTAACAGGGATAAATGTAGTCGTATCTTCTTGTGTAATCTTGGAGTTACTCCTCTCCATCCAAAAGGTTGCCTGGAAGAGATCGCTTTCAGCGATAAGGTCGCCCATTGTTTTCTCACTGTGATCATTTCTTGTAATTGTTTGTACGTATTATAACTTTAGTAATATTTTGGAAGAAACAATAAAGAATATCTATCTATCAACAACGTGTTATTGATTAAGTTTTGAAACCACATTAATAAGTGATTAATAAATTTTACAAAAGTCGATTGCTTGGGTACCTCTGTCCGATTCGTGTTTCAACCGTGAAGCAGTTGTGTTTGCATGGCTGTGTTTCGGTTTGAAGGGTGGGATATGGCGTGAATTTACTGGGTACAGAGGAATAACATCCGAGTTCTCAGGAATGGCAACGCATGAGGGGTATCATGAGCGAAATAGTATACTCTGTTATGTCCATGGTACTGCTCATGTCTATAGGCGACAGTTACCACTTTCCATCAGGTGGGTCGTCAGCTTGTTTGCCATTTTAAGTCGTATAAAAAAAAATGTTAGGTTACAAGAACAAATACAGAAGTTTTTTTTTTTTTTTTTTATACAGAATTATGCATACAATATATACAATACACGAGTAAATGTTATTAGTATTTTACTTTACGAGCTAGCATGTGATTAACAAGTCGCCCTGCCTATCAACGGAGTAATTGTTTCTTTATCTGCTGACGTACTGACGTAGCCGTTTGATAAGACGTTGCCTTACGTAAGGCGGCCGTAAATAGACCCTAATACTTATGTTGTTCAGAATCCACGCCATCACTACGTGTTTATTGATGTATTAATTGATTCCAAAAACTTACGTCGTGATAGGAAGATAATTCTGAATAGTTTTGTTTCCAAGACCCTAACGTTTAGGTTGCTATTTTTTATAAATGTAATTTTTTTTATACAACTTAGAATGGCATACAAGCTGACGGCCCACCTGACGGAAAGTGGTAACCGTCGCCTTTAGACATGAGCAGTACCATGGATATAACAGAGTATACTGTTTCGCCCATGATACCCCCCCATGCGTATATTTCTGAGGACTCGGGTGTTATTCCTCTGTACCCACTAAATTCACGCCATATCCCACCCTTCAAACGGAAACACAGCCATGCAAACACAACTGCTTCACGGTTGAAACACGAATGAGACAGAGGTACCCAAGCAATCGACTTTTGTACAAAGTCTCCCTCTGGTAATATATCTAATTGTCTCTTCTATGATTGGCATAATCTGAACACATTTTAAAATTCTCATTATATTGTCGTCTAGATTTAAACTAAGTTAGTTGATTATTGATCTAATTAGTCGAACTGTATCGTTTTACTATTGATGAAAGCAATAGCTAACAATGTCCGAATAAAATTATAGAAAGTTGTATTAAAAAAAAAATTAAACTATACATGAGCAAAAGATTTCGTACTTAGTAAATGGTACATATGAGAAGACAATATTGTCCTAGTTTATGTGTTGGTTAAAATATGTTAGTTGTATGGTTTTCAAAGAACACATTGGCTTAAGCTTTGTTGTAATACAGATTTATTGTAAACAATCTTAGGGGTACTCATTTTTTATCATTACTCCATTTCCATTAACCAGCAAACCAGTATTTACACACATCACAGTATGTCTATGCTGTCCATCCTATCGTCTCCACTAGTGACCTACCAATGTAAACGAATAACGCCAGCGAGCTTACCATTCCATTTTTATCCAAATAAAAACAAAGTGTTGAATTTATAACACAGCAGTGATAATTGTTCCTTCTGACACAATTCAATTTATTCAAATTTCGCCTTTAATTTGTTATAATTAAAAAGCATAATATCAGTAAAGAGATGAGGGTCATAGGGTCAAGATAGTGGCAATGAACTCGCGAAATAAACAAGCCCCGGTACCTACTTAGGCCGAGCAAACAACTACCACATTATAGCAATTTGGTAAATTGACAAATTGCCAGTTAAATAAGTTGTAACTGTGGAAAAAAAAGTTCAATTTATCTATTTGACACATCAGTTTTTTTCTGTGATCTTATCTATTTTGGATGGATTTAATTAAACCCTATCCGGTTGCAGTTGGAACTTCTGTATAAGAAATATTGAAAAAAAAATTTAATCCTTTAATAAATAAATTTGTACAAATTTTATATATGAAAATGCTGTAATGTAATTAGTATACCAGTGATAAAGACCAGACGATTTACTTGTCACGATGAAGTATCAGACTCCCTTACCAGACGCTAATTACCAATTAGGTGTCCGTCGAGAAACTCCAAACTCTACTCGCTCAAAAAATGTTTATATAGGTAGTATGTTATGATATCTGTCACGGTCCATATGACGAGAATGAGATTAACCCAAATAATATTTGTTTGTA